AAACTAATACGTTACCTAGAATCTCAGTTAAGATAAAACCACCGTTGCGTGGATCATGTTTTCGAGGAAATTGCAACAACCTCATTCACAGTTCAATTATCCCCGAAGACTTGTCGAGGTAGGGCATATGAATCAACGTATTTTAAAACCTACCATGCCAATCCTTGGGAACCCTGGGGCTCCCAAGAATACTTGCATATCACAGCTCATCGGAGAATGGACACGTTAGGTTTTATATAGATCGACTTATATAGACCTGCGTATAGACTATACTATTCAGATCGGAAGTTAATTAATTATCAAAAGCTCGCTCACAGTAGCATCATTGTCTCGACTGAAAATAGCCTGGTTCGTTCCAACCACCGCAGCGATCTCCCATTTTATCCCGGGGATAAATTGCCCATCTAGTTTTAGCGGTATGAACTTTAAGCTTCCAACCCTGGGGCCAAATTTAATCAACTTTTTTGCACCGGAATGTAATATTCGTTGAAAGCTGAGACTTCGGTGCCGGCTAATCAGAAGCCTCAGAAAGACTCTAGTGATGTCGTGACTCATATCGAGTATAAATATTAAGCATGCGCACTTGCCGCTGCTTAAGCATGCACTAAGCATTTACGAAATTTGGCACCAAAAACAATTTTGTCGGATGTTAACGCGGACATTTTTGAACCTAGAGAAAGATTCAGCTGGCGATATTTTAACCGAACTATAACATTTAACGATAAACTTTAAAGAGCAACGTTTTAACAATTGACCCACCGGAAATGTCAAGAGACTTTAACGCCGGGGTAGAAGTGTAGAGATAATTTGCAAATCACGGGTTCAAGTCCTAGTCCTCTACGCAGCTGGTGTTTTTGAGAGGCAGTAATCTTGCAAATAATGAGTTCATTATACTTCGTTTCCTCCACAAAAGGACGGAACGAAATTTCAATGTTGCCAATGTTTCCCGTCGCGAATTGCATTTTTACCAGGGAAATCTAGCGCGCATTCCCAACTAAAAAGTGCACTGATTTTACCTCTGATCTCTTGCAAAAATAAGACACATTTTGGGCAAAAATTGCAGAGGTACGTTTTTTTTTATAAAAAATTGATTGTTTGGATCAATTTTGTATCCTTGGGATGGAGTTTCGTTCCTTCGTCCGGGAATTCACAATATTATGGATGAAAATATTTGAGAAATAACCACGCGTGCCCTTGGTTTCCGACGTTATACATAATTTCCCGTTTCATTTGATTTCTTTATGGAGTATCAGACAAGATAAGAAATTTTCCTCTAATTAAAGAATATTCTATAAAAGTTTTGAAGGGTGAAGTACGGTTTTGTACGGAAAAAAGAAGGTAAGAGCGCAAATTATAAAACAACGCAATTAAGATACCCGGTCTTCCAGTTGAACCATCGGATGCCCGTTGATGCTACGAGATGAAAAGCGCTCCTCTAAAATTTGCCAATAGACATGAGCCCTCAGGCTCCACCGCTTTGAGCTATCGAGCTTCTTTTATTCGTCCGTGTTAAGGTGTAGAACACCATATTCGCCTTCGAACGTTGCCAAATTTCATTTTATAAAATTCGAATTTTTCCGGAAACATCTTATGTACTCTCACTTAAATTTTTTAGAGTATTTTAATTGCACTTAAGTGCAAAGTACGTGAGCATATTTAGGCAAAATATTCATAACTTTCCTTGTAAAGAAATATTTTATTGGATGAAATTCGGCGACATGTGAGGGACATACGGCGTTTTTCCTCAGCACAGCACAATTTCCCGGAGCAATCATCGGACAAAGAAGCTGCCACGAGCTCAATTCATTGTTCTGAGAGGACAAAGATTTTTTTTTTAAACTTTATTCGCTCGATTCGTTATGACCTGAGCCACGATCCTTTTGTGTGATATGTTCCCCGGCTCGTTCACCTGCAAAGTGCAGTTCGGTGGCCCGTGCGCCAGGTTTCTCCCAATACCCGATAGTCTGCTTTCATGGAATCAAAGTATACTGCACATGTGTATGACCGAAAAGATTGTTTAACGAGGCTACTCTTTCTGTATTACACATTTCAATTATTGATTTTAGTGTAATTTTGGTCAGAAAATTTAAGTTAGCACACGAGCTCAGTTTTAAACATTTTGAACTTCCAAAGCAATAAAGTTCGATTTCCGCTTTTGAAAAGATGTTTGAATGCACTGGAAAAAAAACACATTGAATCTAGAGTCTAGACTCTTAAAAACATCGACAAGAAAAAATACTCTTGATTCAATCAGATTTAAGCTTAAATCAAGAACCAAGCCTCTTAATTCGAGCGGATTTCCTTTTGATTTAAGCTTGAATCTGATTGAATCAAGAGTCCTTTTTCTTGTCAATGTTTTCAAGAGTCTGGACTCTAGATCCAATGTGTTTTTTGTTTTTCCAGTGTGAAATGAATTATATAAAAATAATGGCCACAGAAGAGACTTCCATGCAAGCACCTTAAACTTCCAAATACACGACCAAGAAGCACGCAAAACTAAAAAGGCTAATTCAGTGAGGGAAAAATATTCAAATCGCCCCCTTTCGGAGAATAATATGACAAAGCGTCATTTGTACCTCGGCACTATGTTGTCAAACTTCTTCAAACTTACCAATTTCTTAGATAGTTACAAATTACCGAAATCTTTTGATAATATAACCAAATATTCCTTCATCAACACATTACCGATTACTCCCTGAAAGCATTAAAATTTTTTCAATAGTTTTGCGAGGCAATTTTTTTAAAATAAATGAAGATGTCCAACGACGCGACGTGACGTAGCGTCTAGGCACAAAATGCACTTGCGGTATTCTTTTCAGAAATGATAGAAAACCGTGAAAAACCCTTTAAAGACGATTTAAAAGGCATGAAATTATAAAAATGCGAAAAAATTATTCAATTGATAGATTATTATCATTGAATGATTTGAAAAATTTGATTCGCCTAGCCACCAGACCGACCACGACCGGTAAAAAGCATGTTGGATGCGTCGACCGAATAGAAGTGTGCAAATCGGATGCCATCTACCTCGGTTCAACATGGTGCTTCATCGTTAACATAACAAGTGTAAAAATGTCACCATGCCCATTTAAAGGAATGCATTTTAACTAATACTTTTTGAAGCTGGAGACGTAGAAATGGAGCAAATTCGTGCCGTAGACTAGTCGAGAAAGCGGTTGAAAATGTGTCACTCTCAGTTGGCGAGTAGATAAAGTCTCGAAATAAGCTGATTCTATTTGATATTCTGATGTTTACTCAACGTAGAGGAATTTTTCCATGCGAGAAGGGGCGATGAAATCAGTCCCTTCAACGCTACCCTGACCGATGCAGATCTTTTACACTTGAAGCTCCGTCTCCCAAATCAGAGGTAGAAAGAGAAGGAGGTAAAGAAAATAAGAAAAGGAAGAAAAAGAAAGGGAAAAGGAAAAAAACAGGAGGATAAATAAGAATAAAGGGGAGAGAGGAAGGAAGAGAAGATAGAGATAGGGAAAAATCTCCTAGTATTTTTCTGCCTCTTTTCTTCTTCTTCCCCTTCATCATTTACTCTTTTTCTCTCCTTATTTTTCTTATTTTTCCTTCTCATCCTCCTCTTTTTCCTTATTTCTCTCTTCTTCTTTTTTCCTATTACTATTCCTCATCCGCTTCCTCCTCCCCACATCTCCTTCTATTTCCTTCTTTTCCCCTTATTGCTATTCCTCCTCATCTTCCTCCTCTGTTTCTTCCTTTTTACTTCAGTCCTCTTTTTCTAACTCTCTTCTACATTTTTCTCTCCTCCACTCCTTCTTTTTCTTCTCTTCCCTCCTCTACTTCCTCTTCAACTTATTCTTTTACTGATTTTCTCTCTTCCGATTTCTAACGAGTTCGAATCTGATATGTGAGTCATGAATCCCAAGTTTGTCACAATAGGGTTAATTGAATCGTGTTGTTAGGAAACGCACTATCTTCATTTTTCTGAAAATTTTGACAGGACCTTTTCCGACCGAGCCTGACTAATTTTATCTCCTCCATCTTTGATTAGAGTGAGTTAGGATTATTTACTGCGTTTTTTCGAAGTACCCACCTTAAAAAAATACGCGCTGTTGCAGAAAATATAAGTTCTAGGGCGCTTCGAAACTTCATCCCCTCCTTCCCTTCCCAGAAAAACTTGTTTGACCTTAAATATAGAGCGGCTTTAACAAAGAGGAACGAATTAAAATAAGTTATAATAGGAAAAAGAGATTTAAACATTTCCTCATCCATTTTTTACACGTATTAATACGTGTAATAATTACATCATACAACACGTATTAATCGTTTTACCTCATCTAGTAGTCCACCCTAAGTAGCACATGTTGTAATAATTTTATGATCGCAGCAAACTAATTTCAAGTCCTCAGTGTTGCAATTTTTCCCAGCGGCCCAGATAATTTTATAAACGTAACAGTCAAAGAAAATTCAAACAAGTAGCAGTCAAATTAAACGAAAGTCGCAGTAAATTAGTTCTAAAGAATCTTCCGACCGTATTTTACCTATGTAAATTTTTGATAAAAAAACACGTAGCTAAATTTTTAACTTCATATCTTGTCCGTCGGTGCACTCCAAGTAGAATTGCGTGCGATACATTGGAAAGTCACCGCAAAATAGTGTTGAAATTTTTGGATGTAATTAAAAATTGAGGTGCTTAGCGGATTTCTTCTATCAGCAACGGTGTTTTTTTTTTTTTTTTTTTTTTTTTTTAAATTTACCGGAACAAAATTGAACTTTTTGGTATTGGTGAAGGCGTCACAAAAAACCACTGTTATCCTCATGAAATAAAGTAAACATGTTAGAATCAAGTTGAAATAAATTACCAGAAAATTGCACATTTCTCGTATCACAATGCACTCTACTTGGACGTGTTTATGCTAAAAGTAACTATGTTACATGCAATCCCTGTGCATATAGTTCTTTTTAGCATAAATAAGTTCACTGGGGACCGGTAATCATGCTAAGAGGCGAAAAATTAGGGGTTAAGGACTTACCGGGAACGGAAACATGCTGTACAGTGCTGACGGATCGCGGATCGAGATGACAATGTGGTCGCGGGCCCCCTCTCAATTCTCTTATAGGGGGAAAAATCACATTCGCTCGATACGCTCTTCGCGGGGCCCGGGCGATCGCTATCAAGATATCCTCACCCGTGGCGAATCCCCCCCCCCCCCCCGCCCCCCGGGTCCTCAGTCCCCCGATCTGTCAAATTGGCCGGAGATTTTCGCACCTTTTAGACGTCCCCTTACTCCCTTCGCGTCTGCTCCATCCTGCTATACTGCCGTACTAAGGAAGAACGCCGTATGAACCTTCAGGCGTCGCCAAATTTTCTTTCATAAAACGCGAATTTACTGGTAAACTTATGTTTATTTTTCTCCCAATTTTTCAGATAATATTGTTCGCGATTTCACTTAGAGATCCTGAAAATTTGAAGGAAAACTAATCACAACTTTTCTCAACAATAATCATTCTATCGAAGTAAAGGCAACTCTCCAATGCTCATACGGCGTTCTTCCTTAGCACAGCAAATAGGCTCTGCGTTCAAGTTGCCATCTTTGCAAACTCTGTTTGTTACATTAAATAGGAGAAATATATTGTCTCGGTCTCGCAATAATAGCGAATTGACGACTCATTTTTATTTAATTTTTGTTTCCGGTTGATGATGGAATTGTAACAAGTTTGAAACGATCCGGGGTTTTCTTTTGATTTGTCCCCCTTTTGCAGCCTTTCCCCAAATTAGCGTTCCCCAAATATACTTTGCCTATCTGTTTCCATGCAGAAACGTTACCTTGTTAATTTTTCCTGAGAATATTTCCAGAGCAGGAATTTTAACATGCCGCAATTGTATAATACATTTTTATATATTTTGTACAATTGTTTTCAAAAATCCTACATTGGCTACTATTTAAATAGTGTAGAAGGTTAAGGCAAGAGGAGTTTTTGGAAGTTACTTTTTTTCCTAATGAGCAGAGACTTCCGTATTTTCTAATGCTTCTTTTGGTCCCGACGATTAGTTCAACCTGAATATAGTTTGCCCAACCGGTCACTCAACCAATTACTCATCAATCTCCACTTGACGAAAATGATGTCCCATGATCAGAAAATGTTGGATCCCCGAAAATCATTTTTGGCTCGTCCATTCACTTTGACAGTGGGACTCCCCCTAAAGTATTTTGCCTTCAATACCGTTAGAACAAGAATAACCTTGGGTGAATAGGCAGTGTTGTAGTTATTTGATTTTTTGCTAGCAGAGCTTTGCTGCAGCCAGCTGTTTTGCTGAGCTGTTCACAGGTGCCAAATTTTCGAATAAAAAATCAAGAATACTGTTCTTCACTAAAACAAATGAAAATTTTGATTTTTTTTTTTTATTATTATTTTTTTACTGTAGTTTTAATTATTTATTTGCAAAAGCAATTCCCCGTGGAAGTGGAATATCCGCTTTTTCCACCTTAAAACCGCCAGTTTGGCCGCCATCTTGAATTTGAGGGGGTTTGCATGAAATTTGAGATGGCCATCATCAATTTTCTTTTTCTCCACATCAAAACAAATAGAGACTGACGTATGACAAAATATGCCTTCACAAACTTGCGCACGGGAATACGTATGCCCCCTGATTATTCAAATCCATAAAAGTTACTGTTTTGGCTGCTGAAATGGCATCGAGGCAGCGTCTTTATTATTCCGCGCGAAGAGTCTAGTCCAATTTTTCTCTTGCCAAGCATGTCACACACAAATCCAGGCCCGGCGGCGGCCGCCGCGCCGCGGCGCGGGCGGGCGGGCGGGCCTCATTCATGATCGAACGACGGACGTCTGCACCCGTTCGTCCTATTTTGTGGAAACGCGCAGAAATTCAAAATTCACTGCCAAACCAACGGTGGAGTCGGCGTGGACGGTCGGACACCGGGTTGGTGGCTAAATTGGCCGCGCGCGTGCAGTATGTGCTCACGAATTATGCACTTTGGCTCTTGGGTTAGCCTCGGAGCCAAAGCCCAGAGACAATATAATTTAGGGACCCAGCCCCTGCAGCGCCATGTTCTCTAAAATTTAAAAGTAACGTTCAGAAGTTAACGCTTAGGGTTGAGCAACTGCAGCCCGATTGTTGAAACTTTAACTGGCTATGTCGGCAAGATAAGACAAGACACAGCCCTATCTGTGCCACGCAATATATCGATTTTCGATTCTTGTCGTGCCGACATAAATTTCGACAGTCAGACAGCAGGTCTAAATTGGTGAAAACTAGCCGGGCACTGTGCCCAACTGCTCATTCTGGCATTCACCCGTCACCATTAGGCGAGATTTATTTAAACTTTTGCCCATATAATGTTGCACTATCGACCATCATCAAGTGAAAAACTAGAGTACCTGTATACGGGAGAGTATTGCCAACTCTGTGCCGCTCTCTGATCGGTTCATCAATTTTAGGCTATCATGGAGCTCCAAAGTTATCACGTCCAAAATCACGTCTGGAACTTTTTCGCCATCTTGTTTGTTTACATTGGGCCAAACTGCCAAACTAGGCTCGGAAGGGTTGGGGTTTGTCAACATTGGGTCAACGTTGGGGCTCTATGATAGCCGAACAATCAGAGTGCGGCACACTTTTTCTGTAGTAAAAGGATTGATATAGCAATACTCTCCCGTATACAGGTACTCCACGAAAAACGGCATTGGTCTCCTAACTAAACTTTCGCCTCAGTCGATAACAATGTCTTGATTAATTTTTACTCCGGAATTCTAAAATATATCGTCTCTGAAAATAAGAGTGAAATAACCTTAACCTATCTCAATTCTACCAATGGTAATTAATCGATATTTATATCGCTTTCCCTTGCCGTAACACCAATTGCGTCAATGAGAAGCGGTAATGATAATGTTCGGATGCAACTATTTGTGCTCTTAGGATGCCTGGGTTGCATATATGAAAAATTGAAGGCGCTCCACATTTCCTTGTCCCTGCCATGATACGGAAAATAACGCTGTGAATTTTGCCACACTAAATCAAATTGCTTGGATATCTAATTGCGGGGCGGTCTTCAAATTTACTTTTTTCCGATCACGACCCGACAAGGGCATAAAGGGGGAGGGGGGTTGAAGTAAATAGAGTTTAAAATGGCGACCTCAATTCGCAATAAGGAACAACTATTTCTGACTCATTTTAGAAACGAAGTATGTGCCATTAGTTTCCCCATGTAGAAGAGAGTTTTTATTAATGAGCCAGAAACATTGGCTCCTTATATTGCTAAATGAAGTCCATATGGAAATCTCTACCCTCGAGCGTAATATTGTATTTATCAGTACATCTTTTATGAAAAGAGTGACATATTAAAGCACCCCGACATCAATCAAATGGAACGAAAAATGAACCTTGGGATATTCCACTAAATAACTCTGTACTTCAGACTCGCTGACATTCCATATTTTTATTCTTGGTCATAGTTTTATCCGAACATCTACGAAGCAGAATCTCGTGACCCTTTGGCCACCGGCAGGTGACAATCTCGAATCCAGGTGAACTTAAATGGTTGAGACGAGGGGATTTGTGTACTGACTGGCCTCAGTGTTTAGATCATGGACAGTTGCACTGATTACCTATTTCGAAGACCTCATTTTGACCGTGTGAAGCAGGCTTAAAATATTTGAAGCTTGAGACGACAACGCTCTCATGCTGGAGACATGCGCTCTACGACTTCAAAATCTCACACCAGGTGTGAATAACTGACTCTTGAATACCAACAAAATTACGCTCAACCGATTGGCATCAAGAAGATGGTTCGAATACTTTAAATGAATGTCAGCCACCCGGAGATCTGCAATAAAATCGGACGCGCGAACCGGCTGAAATTATTTGTACTCTTTGTCCGGAGATAGTCTGTGAGATAACAAACCTTCTTGTTAAAATTTCAAGGCGTATTAAAACTGCGTGGCTTCGTATTTTAGCTGATCTCTTATTCCGCAGTTTAGTTTTTTTCGGTATAGTTTCTTTTCCTTCCTTCTGACGCACTTGGATTTTAGAAATTGATGTGACCTGATAAAAGGGACCTCGAGGTATCATAATTTCAATCATTTTTAGAAAAGATATAACATTTTTTGAGCAAGATGGTTTCATTTTAATTTTGAAGAGAAGTCTCCCTTTAGATTTTTTCATAAAGTATGCATTTTAAGGTATTTGTCTTACAAGAAACATGCGCACGGACTAACCCAGGGGGTTGGGGGGCGGGAGATTCGGAGGAAATCACCTCCTAAAAAAGGCCAAATGGACCTCACGCGGACCAGTTTTGGCAATATTTGATGGGCCCCATTCGGCACCCTTTGAGTAATCTGGCAGAGCCTCTCAGGGTCCTCTTCGACTGCAGTGTTCGAAACTCACCTTCGAGTTCTGGGAGGCATGTGGCGCATCGAGACCGATTTTTAGGCGCCATTGCAGATTTTTTAGGGGCAAACTTGGCTTTTTGCCTATATATTAAAGTGCATTTAGTGACAAGTTAGACGCTAGATGTTTTCGTAACAGAACTAGACAATTCTGACTTTTTTCAATTCAAATAGATTTGTTTTTCTACCTTCATGTGATTCCTATGAAAATCCAGATTTTTAAGGGGCAATTTTTAGGGGCCACGTAGGCGCAGAGCCTTCATTTTCTAGGCGCCATAGCCGATTTTTAGGCGCGTTGGCGCCTGTGAGTTTCGACCGCTGTCTTCGAGCCTACCCCTCGTTTAACAGAAAATGACCCCCAAATTGTCATTTCGGAGGATCCTGCTCCTTCAAAGAATTGAAGTCAGTTTGTCTCTGTGCCAGTAGTCTTTCAATACGTTTGAAATGCATATATAGTTAAGTAAGTGACCGAAGACCGTATAATTAAATCGAAATTACTCACTATACGTGATTACTATGCTTGTCGGGGTACTGCATGGGCTGAGCTCAAACTCATCCAATTTTCACACCGTGGTGTCACATCGCGACGAGAGCAGGTTTAGAGTTTACAATGGAACCATTGTGCGCATGGAGTATGAGTATTCGACCCGATGTAGATAAAGCAAATTTTATGCACCCCGTAAATTGGCAAAAAAAGACGAAAGAAGGTAATTTTTACGGTAGAATTCC